TATGCACTAGACTGCACATATGGGCAACATGCGGCCCGCGGGCCGCATCCGGCCCACTGTAAGATATAATCCGGCCCGCGAGACATTTTGAAAAAAAAAAAAAACTCAATGAAAAAATATTAAACTAGGTACTTACATTCACAGCGACAGTGAAGCCCCAAACATCTAATCCTTTGATGTTTGCCGCCTCACTCATTGATAATCGCCGCCACTCGGCTTACTCGATCAAAGTCTTTGATGTTTGCCGCCCGACGCCTCACGGGCGGCAAACATCAAAGACTTATTGCTACTCAATTATTCTAAAACTAGTTTATTCCAGAATATTCCTTCATTTTGCCTATATAAGCGGGTGTATGGCCCGAACATTTGTGCAGTTCTATTCGAGCTACCGAGGTGATAACTTCGACAAGCGATATTCTAGCGAACTGTTTGAGCCGTGAACTTTGTGTGCATCTTGAGTGGTTGTGTACTAACTATAGTTTGTATTGTTATTAAGTTTAAAGAACGAAAAGTTAACAAAAATGATGTCTGGTGGAAAAAAACGAAAAGTAGATACAGAGGGACGCCAGTTTCAAGAAAAATGGACTGAAGAATTCTTTTTTATTTTGCACAATGGTAAGCCTATTTTTTTGCTGTGTAATGAATCCATTTCAGTAATGAAAGAATTCAATATAAAGAGGCATTACTTAACTAAGCATACTGCGCTACACTCACTGACAGGACAATTAAGAACAGACAAAATCCAGAAGCTTGCAGCAAATTTGGAGAAACAGCAACAAATGTTTCATAAACAAAGAACACAACTTGATAATGTTGTGAAAGCTAGTTTTATAGTTAGCTCAAAATTGGCAAAGGCATTAAAACCATTTGCCGAAGGAGAATTTATTAAGGAGTGTATGTTAGAAGTTTGCAGTGTTTTGTGTCCTGAAAAGAAAAATGAATTTGAAAAAATTAGTTTGTCATGACGAACCGTTGTTCGACGTATAGAAATGATGGCTAATGATATAAAAACAACATTGACTGACCGTATGGCTGGTTTTGAATAATTTTCCATAGCATTAGACGAGAGCACGGATTTGTCGGACACAGCTCAACTGGCTATATTTATTCGAGGTGTATGATAAGGAGTTCACTGTTACTGAGGAATTGCTTGCTTTACAGCCGCTAAAAGGAACCACTACAGGGGAGGATATTTTTAATGAAGTTCAAAAGGTATTCACAAGATTTGGCTTGCCATGCCAAAATTAAAGGGAGTATGCACTGATGGTGCACCTTCTATGGTCGGCTTACGTAAAGGTTTCATCGGAATTTTAAATGAAAAAGCAACAGCATTAAATGTGCAAAAAGATGATTTGATAGTCCTTCATTGCATTATCCACCAACAGAACTTGTGTTCTAAGTTCATTCGACTCCAGCATGTTATGGATGTGGTAGTAAAAACCATCAATTTTATTCGATCTCGAGGGCTTAACCATCGTCAGTTCAAGGGGTTCTTGGATGAAATATCCGCTGAATATAACGACGTAACATATTATTGTGAAGTCAGATGGCTGAGCAAAGGAAAAATGTTGAAACGGTTTTACGAGCTTAGAAATGAGATAGCAGACTTTATGAAAATAAAAGATAAACCACTATCTGAATTGAGTGACCCAAAATGGATATGTGACTTAGCATTTCTGGTCGATCTAACAGGCTATTTGAATGATTTAAATTTGAAACTACAAAAACAAGGACAGTTAGTAAATGATTTGTACAGCCATTTGAAAGCATTTCAGGTCAAACTGCGCTTGTGGGAGTCACAGATGCTATCTGGTAATAGTTACCATTTCAACACGCTCTCTATGTATGAAAATATTGCTTATGCTCAGTATGCTGAAGAACTCAAGTTACTGTCGGAACAATTTTCGAACAGATTTAGCGATTTCCAAAACATGGAAGACTGTTTCAGTTTATTTGCAAATCCAACAAAAAGTAATGTACAAAATGCTCCAATACACTTACAAATGGAGTTGATCGAAATTCAAGAAAACTCACTCCTAAAATCTAAATTTGAAGAAGTAGAGTTGTGCGATTTCTACAAAAAATACCTAGAAGAAGACAATTTTCCGCAGCTTAGAAAATTCGCAAGAAGATTGATTTGTGCTTTTGGTACTTATAAATTAAAAAAAGTACTTATAAATGCGAACAGTTCTTTTCGATGATGAAAATTAATAAATCAACACATCGTACAAGACTGACTGACGATAATTTGGAAAATTCTTTACGTGTTTGTATCAGTGGAATTAATCCAAATATCGATGGATTAGTTTCCCAAATTCAAGCTCAAGTGTCTCATTGATTGACTTTCGTAGTTTGTAGCAATTGCAAATTTATCGATTTACCGATATGATGTTGTACCATTTTTTTAAATTTCATTTTTTAAATAAATTGTACTAGTACTAGAATAACATTGTGATATTATTTTATGTCTGACATCTATTGACACTAATTACTTTAAAATGCACTAAGCACTTTGAAACGCGGCCCGCGAACCTATTTGCATACTAAAGTTTGGCCCTCAACATGTTAAAGGTTGCCCATACCTGCACTAGAGCATAAAATCCTATTTTATGCAGCCTACACCCAGCATAAATACGAACTTTAAGAGCATGAGAAATGAAAATAATATTTAATTTGAAGACATTAACCCACCAATAAATTTGAAGACTACATTGCTGATTAAACGAGATGAAAATTAAAATATGTCTTGTAATTTCCATGGTTAGGTATTTTTAGTGTGGCAATATCGATTGTTAGTTGGATGAATACTGTCACTGTCAATCCACTGACGCTCTATTGAGACTCAACTACCATTGCAACTGGATTTTAGTAGAAAAATAATATTGTCATAATTCATATAATCTCGGTGGAGTCTGAATGGAATGACAGTGACCAGTGGTTTCAAAAAATTTTCTGATGAAAAGCAGTAACCGGCCCGTCTATAGGTACACGTTTGCGATGTTAATGAACGAGATCCTTAAGATCGTAAATATGTCTAAAAAGGAGGTGATTATTGAGCAACGTAATAAACTATTCGTATAAGTATCGCTGCCTTATTACAAGCCCATTACACCGCATGTATGGAAATTGAGACGGTTTCCGAGGAACTTATGGTTTTATAACGATTCTCTGTATTATTAGCATTAATCTAGACGTTATTTATGGTTTGTTTATTGATTTGACTTGTTTCTTTATTAGTTTCATTTGTACTCGTAAATTACTTGCATCATATCTATTTCTGCCATAAAATACTAACATGTATTCGAGGAATCATACAAGCCTGATTGTATGATACCGTCGTGCGCCTGGTGGTAAATAACCCGCCTGTCCGTAATAGCTGCAGTGCCACTCAGAGCTTTAAATCGCAAGGATTTGACGGACACTGCCAATGCGGTCGTCACCCTGAGACACAACTTTGACAAGTCCCATATGCCTGTACCTACCCTTCAAAACTGGAACGCAGTAATGATACCTTTTCGAGGCAGAAATAGGTAAGGTTCACAAGGCGCTCTGTTCCGCAGTAGCTTAATACGTATTAAAAAAATGTACAAAATTTACAGTCTCCGCCTGACTTTCACCATGACATACGTTATAATTATGCGCTCACGTATGTTTTTTACTACATCCAATTACGAAGTAAATGATCTTTAAATTGTTTTAATCCTGCATTAATATTAACTTTCTCACGAATTTCATTCATTAATTACAACAAACGACATTTAAAATGGCCGTAAGTTGCATAAATTTTAATGCAACTAAAAGGTCAAAGTGATAATAACACGACTTAAGAATTTCACGAACGTTGCCCTGATGATTTGGGTTTAAATTTTATTTAAGGTCAATTACGATTAAACACTACGTTTTACGCACCAGAGTTGTTACTGAGTTATGGCGTAACTATCAAATTGCATGCGAATTCTGTATCCTGCTTTACTTCTGCTGAAGTAACACACAAATTACGTCTTACTGTTATCATGAACCCATTTATAAGTCCCGCAGTTGGGAACGGGTTTCCTCTCAGGCAAGGGTTTAGACCACAGATTCCCAAATTTTTTTGGCTCACCACACACTTAGACAAGATAAAAAAAAATTCAACGCCACAAAAAATAATTGAGAGGACGTATTTTTTATATTAACTTCATAAAAAATCACAAGGAAAAAATACTGAAATGCAAAAAATTGTATATACAAATTTTGCAGGCTGATTTTACATCATATTTCCTTCATATTCACACACTGGCTTTTACCTACTCTTAAATTAATGCATCCAAGTTAACACACTTGATAAGAAATTTAAAATAAATAGAAAGGTTTGTCATCTCCTAAGTAATCACTCTTTATAAGATACGAGTTTGATAAAGTAAAGTATTGATATGTAATATAGCATAAACAAATAATTCAGGTTTTATTTTTCAAATGCGGTAGCACCCCCTGTATAGCATTAACGCCCCCAATTGCTTCTAAGGCCTCTACAGCCCCAGGAATCTTCAGCGCCCACTGGGGGCGGTAGGGACCACTTTGGAAAACTATGATTTAAACTGTTGTCCGCCACCCTGGCACAGTACGGGTTGGTGACTTCACGCGTTTTCCGAGGGTTCTGAACCTTCTTCGAAGTGCAGATTTCATCAGGAAGGAAAACCCTTCAATTTAAATTAAATTTCGCGTAACTTAGAGATACGGGTCCCGATTTGAACTCACGGCTTCTGTCTGCTTGATAGGCATAACTAAGATTTTTTCATTAAGAACAAACCTGAACCCGGAAAATCACGAGAGATACATGCAAAGATTGCGGGATATTCTTTCTTGCACATACTTCTCGAGTCCCTGCAAGTCTATTCGTCGTTATACCACTTTCTACACCGTTTATGCCCGTTAATTTTTTTATTCGCTGCGTTACTTGAAGGAGATGAGGTATGGTAGTCATTATATTTCTCTTATTGTTTTTTATATGCTTGTTGCAGAAAACCTGGCGCCGTCAGAATTGAAGAAACTTAGAAACAAACAGAGGAAAGCGAAACGCAAAGCTGAACAAGAGAGCGCGTTGCAGGCACAAGTCCAGGTCAAGAACTTTAATAGACTAGAACTATTGCATCTATTATGATTGTGAATACAGAGATCGAACACATAGAAATTTTTTTTGAGGCACCTGTAAAGGTACCGGCTACGGTGGAAAGATTTTCAAAATCTGTCACTAGATGTCGCTAGTGGCAACGAATGCCGAAAGCCAGTACAAGGATTTATAACAAAAACACATAGGAGGATTCCGACAACTCGGTAACTTGATCTGTGACTCAGTTGGTAAGAGCAATGCTACGGTGCAGCATGGTTGCGAGTTCCAGTCCCACCGGGTCGAAGAAATTTTTGTATGAGTTCGATCTTTGTATTAATATAAGAAAACTAGTGGAGCTATTTCACAAAAATCATAATACTATTGCATGTGTTGGCGGTCAGAAGTCGACTGTTAGACTTATAAAGCCACCTACATCGAAACCAATCATCATGATCAGGCGTGTAGGAAGATTGACGCTGATCTTCTGTTACCATGGAACCTTTGTAAGACCTAGCAAATTACAATGGGAAAAGCGTTAAACGCCCAATGGCAATTTACATTCCAATGTACTTATTCAGGCCCAATCTAGTATGCGATCAGTTTTATAAGAAAAAAAATATTTTTCTAGTCTGTTTTTTTATAGTCGATATCGATATCGATACTGGAGGCGATATTCGAACAAAAGTGTGCAGGTTGATGAGCTGACTGTAAACTGGGCTAATAAAGTAATAATTATAAAATAAATCTGGGTCTTGAATCACTTGACATGCTATGTAGATTTTGATATATTGAAAGTTCCTGGAACTGACCACTTGTAAGAGAAACTAAAAAAGAAACAAATACGAAATTTTAAAAAGGAACTCTCTGTTAGTCGGTTACTTTTTACTTCATGTGAGTGTCATTTGCGTTTTTCTTTACGATAACTTATATGAACGACTTTTTAGTCGGCTGCTATTAAAGAAGTTACAAGAAAATACGGTACTTTTCGCGACATAGCTGTAGTTTTGACACCAATCTGCTGAAGATTCAGAAAGTGGAAGGTGAAGATATTATGTTTTATATTTTATTTTGGTGTTGTACAGAGAGACTGAGCTGGACATGTCACGGGAATGGACTTGCAAATATCTCGTGACAGGCGCTGGCCAATCCCCAAAGGACAATGAAACAAGGGACATTAGAGGCGTTTGCATAGCAATGGGCCAAAACCTAATGTAAAAATATTTACAGGTGAAAAGAGAGCAGCATCACAAAGCTCGTCAGCAGCAGGAGCAAGGTGATCCTGAAGCACCCCAACTGGACGAACTCATCCCCGATAAACTTGCCAGGGTAAGTAAATGTTTTGTTTATTTACCTGTGATGCGAAGTGTCGGGCTGAGCAAGTTACGTGGCTGGTGGTAAGCGATGCATAGCAGTTGCAGTGACATACATAACATTAAATCGACCTGAAGGGCACTGCCAAGTTGACAAGTCGCACGTGCCTGTGATTTCACCAGACCCCATACCCTTTAAAACTGGAACATAATAATAGGCGGCAGAAATTGATAAGGTGGCAGTACTTCCCTGGACGAAGTCTTCAATAAAAGGAGGAGGTTCTCAAGTCGACTGTATTTTTTTTTATGTATATTACGCGATAACTCCGGTAATTGTGAATCGATTTTGATGATTTATTTTTTCTTGGAAATAGGGTACCTCAGTATTGGTCCCATTTAAATTTGAAGGAAATATTCCACTTCTAAGACTGGCAAACTAGGGAATGAATCCGGTTTCGCGCACTTTCCGATAAGCGATTTCAATAAAACTTGGCAAGTAGAGGTTGTTATAATGCCAAGTGGTGGGACGAATTTCTATGAACGTTTGTGGTCGGTTTTTTTATATAAAAAAGTTACAATTATATCGGTTAAATACAGTTCAGTCTCTAAGGTTAAATACAGTTTGTATATCGGTAACTTCTGGGCAATTGATTCCCATCATTTCATCACTAACATTACAAAAAATTTATTCGCTTAAATCTTTAGGTAGTGAACTATACTGATCTAACACGAAATGTTTAACATTTGTCGTTAAAGAGTTTTTTTTGTGTACTTTCGATACTGTTGGGTAATTTTCCGAAAAATTTCAAGGTAGTAGTATCTTTTTAAATTTTATTTAATGTGAATTATAAAATAAACTTGTATAGTTAAAAACCACATAGAGAAAAAGGAATTTAAAATTATTTCGCAACAGCGAAACCTTTTTAGTGGCTCCATCGTTTTCGTCCAGTAACTTCAACTTTTGACAGATGTCAACGTCGAATGTGGAAAATTAAAGGAAAATATTGGAAAAATATCCGTAAAGCTAAATGTTTTTCTAAAAAAAATAATATTTTCAAAACGGAAAATTTTTCCATGACCCAACTCTAATTTTCGACAACGGCAGTTATCATCACGAGGGTTTCCGTTATAGTTAATAGATAAATTAATGAACTAAACAGGCAGACCCTCAACGTTCTTCTTAAAATTAAGCTATTATTGCTTCACGTTCTTACAATTTGTATTGTCATATAAACCTCGTTCGTATAAAGAATTTCGCCATATAGAGACAATTAGTTTTGTAACCCAAATATTAAAAATTGCAAATATGTAATTCCAGGTGGAGGACCCGTTAGAGCAAGCACTGAAGTTCCTACAGCCCTTGCGGATGCTCGCCTCCGACAGGTCGGAAACACATCTAATGGCCTTCGAAATTTACTTTAGGAAAGGTAAGTATGATGATTGTAGTTTATCTAACTTTGTTTATACTTACCAAGTTCACAGTCCCCCTATAAAGGCCGAATCACTCTACAATTTTATAGTCTGTGGATCCAGGAACGGCTGCGTTCAAAATTTCTCACCGATGTAAGCAGACACACACCAATGTTTTTTTTTTTAATATCAACTGAAGTAAATAGAACACGTATAGCATACGATACACATTTTTCAAACGGCTTTAGTTTCGTTTGTAAAAAAATAAATTTTGAAATAAAGCCAGTGGTCCCGGCCGCTCGACCCGCGCAATAGAACCGATTCAATACGGGAAACATTTTAATTCGAGCTAAGGTAATGTCGACTCTTAGGGCGCATCACTTACGAAACTTTACTAGAAATTACTAATCTGGCAGGACTTTTGAACATTGCGCTTTACAATACTTTTGTTTATGTTTACAGAGCGTCCTCTGCTAATGCTGCAAAGCATAAAACGGGCGTGGAAGCTGGACAGCTCGCATCCTCAACTCCACGACTGCCTACTGCGCTTCATGCGGTGGCTAGCTGACGCCATGTCCACTCTTGCGCCGCAGGTCCAGCAGGTCATAAAGCAGCAGATGGAACCGGTAAGCATTAAGAGCTACATAGCAGCCCTCAAATACTAGATTCCAAACATTGACTTACAATTATACGGACGTCGGGTCCGCGCTAAAAGTGTCCGAACTTATAGGGCGTTAAAATCGTATACAGAGCGTCATTCACGCTTTAGTCTTCGTTTGTTCGACTGACAGCGAAGCAAGCAAAATTAGACAGTACTGCGACGACATTACAATTTAAATTCAACGTTTTAGCTTTTTCATATTCCTTTACATGTCACTACGTTTAAATAGGTTGACTTGGGACATTTTTTTCGTGGTTTTTGTATTAGACCCGTCGTCCATTTATTTGTAAGTCAATGATTCCAAATGAGTATTTTCTTTGTACTGGTACAGATCCAATATACCTGTGATATAAAGCTGCTAACAGATTGTTTGCAGTTAATGCGTGTAGTCGTAATCAACTTCATGTAGCCAGGATCTCGATTGCTGAAAAGCCAAGGGAAGAATCCGGTTTATAGAATCTCACCCACTGTCCGTTAACCGGTTTCAATAAAATTAGTAAAAGTAATTTGACGACCTCCATGGTTCAGTGGCTTGAACGCTGGTTTTCGTGGTGTCGACATTGCTGAGGTCGCGGTTTCGATCCCCGGTCGGGTCAACGTAGAAAAACTTTTCTATATTGCTTCGGGTTTGCGGGTTTGTTTACGTTCCTTCAGTGTACAGCTTTTTTACTTTGGGATCGGAGCAACGTATGTGATGTTGTCTGATATGTATTTATTTTAATTGCATTGACAATAAAATGTTACGTTTACTGATGTCCACAGATGGTAGGCGGTCGCACGGAGCTGCAAATCGCGGAAGAGTACCTGGCCGGGCCGGCGTCGCGCAGCCAGTCGGCGGCGCTGTGGGGTGCGCGCGCGCTGGCGCGGCTCGTGCCCTCGCGCACCGCCGACGCGCGCGCGATAGCCACGTCTCTCGACTTCCCCGATCTCACTATACAGGTATCGTCCACATTGCTGGATGAGGAGGTCCCGGGTTCGATTCTCCGTAGAACCACTTTGGGAAATGAATTTTTGCTAAATTGGTTCTCGCTTGGGTGTTCTGGGTAGTTATAAGTAGGTAGAATTTTGTTGCTTTTGTGGTTAGTTAGGTGTCGTCAGAGATGGGCAATGGGTTAAAACCTAATCAATCTGCCCGTTGTAACTGTGTTTTTATACAAAGATCCGATTTTAACACTTTTCTGCACAAAATCGTGGGCAGAAACGGCGAATACACAATTTGGTATAATTCGTAATATATATTATATATTACAAGGTGTTTCGAGTTTCGATGTAAAAATCTTTTTTAGACGAAAAATAGGCGTCTACTCAATGCACGATGGGGATCGTGCAATTCTGTGGATTCTCACTTCTAAGGATGCACATTACGATTACATTTTTATGAAAATCGATTCAAATGCATATAGCGCATCGATTTAAAAGGGAAATGATATCGTCCAGATCAGAAAGCAATATACATTTTGTAAAAATATCATTAAAAAACATTAAAAAAAATAGCCTCATTGCTCAGCAGACTGAGGAGAAACACCAGCACCATTTTACAGGTAATACCTGATGAATAGATATGACCTATCCATTATGAAATCTTTCGTTCGGTTTCTGATGGAATAGTCTCAAGTCTATTGGACAAAGATGCCACCGAGAGATAGTAGCCTGCCACTTCTTAAAACTTAATTTTTTGTAACTTTTTGTTCTATTGTTTATTATTACCACTAACCTAACCCTAGTCTTTTTACTACCACTGTTGGAATATCATTATTATAAACCGTCTTCTTAGCGGCCCGTGACCAACAGCGGGAAGTAAAAGGTTCATGATGAAACTTCACCATTATCATGGGTCTTGCGTCCTGAAAAGAGCCCAGGATTCAAAAACATACCGAGTTCTTAGGTTTTCGCGTTAGTTAATCATTCAAAATTAAACATTATTTTTGGATTTAAATCGCGTATATTTGTTTTTTGACTATCAGCCGTGACCATAGATGCTTTAAAGGGCCAGAAACATTAATCTATTTGAAAAAATAATAAAAATCTGAAAAAATTGTTTCATAATAATTACTGTAACAAGCTAGTGGAGTAATTTCGCAAAAAAATAATTGACTAACATGGTTCAATAAAACTTAATTACAAATAATTCCATTTTCAATTCAAAAACATTTTGGGCAGGTTGCGCATGTGTATATACAAAATTGGCCTCTGTGGCCGAACGGTTACCATGCTGGTTTGCCACGCAGAGGTTCAGGGTTCGATCCTCGGGCCGGGAGAAATATTTGTATGGCCTATATTTGTTTCTCTCGTGATTGTGGGCGTTCTTATATTGCCATTATTACTACTTGTTGTCCCGTTGTTCCGAATTCGAGCACGTTGAAGTGTATAGCTTGATAGCAGAGATCGAGAGAGAGATACAAGTTTGTAAAAAAATTTAACATTTTCAGGGTTGCGCAGATGTACTAGAAAGTCTTCGAGAAGGTGACTTCGGTCCATGTGAGAAAGAGACGGAAGCATACGTCGAAGCGTGTCGCGCTAAATATTCGTACGCGAATGCGTTCAAGCCGCCTGCGCCCGAGCAGCCGGAGGTGACGGAGAACCACGTGACAGAGGAACCCGCGCCGCTACAGCCAAAGGAAATCGCCGTTAATAATTGAAATTCACTGGTTGGATGGTAGCATTGCATTGCAAGCGCGTTGGTTTGAAAAGTATTCGTTATACAAACGATTGTAAAGCAATAAATTCTGATAATTTTTTTAGAGTTCCTTAATCATCGTGTCTGGAGTTCAGACAAATAATTATATTTGTGTAAATTTGATACTAATCAATCAAAGGGCATTAAAGCCTCTTTTTAATCGAGCTCTTTGGACTACGCGTGTGTAAATACAGATTTGAGCTTACATTTTCACGTGTGACGCTATATGTTTAGCACGCGTGCTCAAAATACGTTACGTTATGTTAAAGTCAATAAATTACACCAAAGATTCTGAGAGGATGTACTACAACAGGGCATTATTGTTCACTTTGGGGCTAATGTAATCTCGTTCGCTAGAGGGCATGGTGAGATATGTGTGGCCTGGTGCAAGTGCCTATAGTCTGCCTTTTTTGAAAATGGAGTAAAATAACAGTTCATTTCGCAAGTGTTGCCCGCTTGCGAGCTGCTAGTGATTGCAGTTGATAAAATATCCTGTCGTCTATCGATTGAATGTTGGTAACGCTTATGAAATAAATAGCCCAAAATTTGTTTCATTTGAATCATCATCGACCAATTATTCGTCCAACTGCTGGGCACAGGTTCATTTGAATTGTTAATTTTTGAAAATTCATATAAATACACTAAATTTAGCAGTATGTGAATAAAAATACAAATGGGAGACATATTTTAAAGGTTTTTATTTGAATTTAATATACATAATCAAATCCGCCTGTCGTTTTTAAAATGTGTATGACTAAAAAATTATTTCGATACTAATAAGCAAAAAGTTAAAATAAGAACAAAGAATACAATAACGTAATTAGTGATAATTAGAAAGTCGTAACATTCATAATTCTGACATTTTTGGCAAAACTGTACCTATTCTCACAATCTATCGATAAAATTGTCGACAACAACGACATGACTATTTAAAATTTTACGATAACTTTGCAAATGTCATTTTACTCCATCTTCAAAAAGAAAATCCTTAAGTCCCTATTACATTACGCAATTCGTGTACCAAACCACAGATATAGTTGTGGAATCTTGGAAAGCGGCAATGTATGAGATCATTCGACACTAAATACGAGGGCGGTTTGATAAATACGTGAATTTCAAGTGAAATAAAAACTTTTTGTCCGAATTTATTTTTATTTCTTAATTTAGAACTCCTTACTAAGCAACTGACGTTACCTTCTAAAAATTAGCGCAAAAATATAAAAAATTAGGTAAGGTCGATATTGTTTTAGCCATCACTTTCTCATTTATATTAAATGAGAAAGTGATAGCTGAAACAGAGGTTTATTTAACTGATTTTTTTTGATGGGTTGAAGAAGTTGGGATATCGCTGGTCAAGGTGTATAGAGTTAAAAAGAATACGCAGAAAATACTATTATTTTGAAAAGTATTTTCTTTACTTATCAAATTCGCCCTCGTATATTTCCACAGTAAGAATTATTTGAAATGTCCAAATCCATTTGAGAGCTTTCAAGGGACTATCGTTGCAACACAATTTATTAAAAAAAATGAAATTAAAATAAGTAAGAATACACGCCGTATATTTGAAATGTCTGCAATACATGTTTATTGTATTATGTTTCCAAGTAGTCGAGTATAGATTTTAAGGCTTTCGTGGTTATTCACTATTGATTATCACTAATTTCAGGCTTCTTACCACGGTATGGCTATTTTCCCGATTTTACGGAACGGTTGCACGCCCCAGCCCGTGACCATGGAGCGTGCAACAGTTCCCAAATATCGGGAAAATAAAAAGAAGTCATACTGTGGTAAGAAGCCTGATATTAGTGATAATCATTTAGTCGAGTATAGATTATTTTCTATTGTTCTTATTTTTATCTGGGACATGATACGTTATAGTCCATTTCACAAAGGATGGATACTGTGACATTAATTTTGACATAGCACGCATACTATTTTTTATTAATCTGTCAACCACATTACAAAAAGAAATAGTAAATTTGTTACAATGTACCAAAAACAAACAATATTTGTTGCAGTTGTAATTGTAAGTAAAAATTACAGTGTAATAAGTAGATAGAAAATTAAATAATAAAAATAAATTACTCCAATTACTTGATGCGTAAAAAGGTATATTTATTCATAGAGAATTTACACCATAGAATCGCTATTTCGAATCGGGCTATTATGTATTTCGCTGACGCGATGGGCGCATACACCTTGTATGCGGGTAGTTTTCTTTTGTTTTGAGTTTCGCGTCGTTTTGTTCTTGCTGTTGAGTCTATGATTTGTTGCCGCTTTTTTGTTTGGTTGTTATTGATTTTTTGTTTTGTAGTTTTTTATTAACTTAATTACATAATAATTTAATACATACATAACATTTCATTTATTATTTGTTCTTAAATTCTTTCTCTAAATCGATTCACGCTTCTTTACAAATTATCACGTCAAAACGTCAAATCTCAAACGTCACCGTACGCATGTTATGTGAAATGAATAGTTCATTAATAATAATAAAAAACAATTATCATCAGGCATCATGAAGCCAATCATTATTGCACTATACAATTTATTGTTCATAACAAGTATCATTACCTCGCGTGCCATTACACTTTAACAGCAACTCAGTTACAGGTTATTTTTCAGGTTACATTTCTCTACCTAATGTAGAACTAACTTAACTAACGTGACGTAACGTAACTTGGAATATTATTTTAAGTTACTCGAATATTGATAATGTTGTACAATATTTGAATAATAAAAAATGCCACCGGAATTAGGTAGGACAAACTAAGTAGAAAATTGCCCCACTATCAATTTAAAATGTGGTAATTGAAATGAACAACTATTGCAAATTGAAGCATAGAGTTTGCCGTAAAGTCACTATTGGGACGAAAAAGGAAACTTATTTCATTCTAAAGTGGTTGGGTTTAACAATGAATACAACGTCATTGTTAAAAAGATAAGCACTTAATTGGATTCGGACATTTGAAATAATTCTTACTTCATAAAACTACCGTTATTGACAATAAATAACGAATTTGCCTTTTATCATTTGTTCACAAAATGAGTGCCCATAATAATTGCAAATTATAAGATAGTAAAGCGCTTGCAATGCAACTGTGTAAAAAAACCTATCAATAAATTGAACAAGATTATGTTCAATTAATAATAGACTATGTCGGTTGACGACCGTTTAATTGTTAAAAAATTAACTCACTTATTATTTATCAACTGAAATCTTTAAAATACAGTACAGAAAAATAGCAATAGGTAGGACAAGGAAAAAATCATTTTGAAAGGCCAACATTGTTTATTGACACCACCTTTTATCTAAATTGCAGGTGGTATATAGACACATGAAAACAATTATTTTTGTTTTGGCTTTGCCGTGGTCGGCTAAGAATCAATACTTGTTGATCTCACGTAATATTTACGAGCTAAATTGATTTGGGATTATAATGTTCTGTACTGTATTATACAGAGCTATACCAAAATTTAGGCTAAAAATTCGCCGAGATGATCATATCAGAATCGTCACAAAGGCCCGGTTTTTTTCTAATACTCGCAAAAACGAAGAATTTTACAAGAAAAATTGTATGTAGTTTTGTATAAACATTGTCTTTTTTTTTATCGTCAACGGAAAGCCTCGTATATATGCGTACGAGTTAACGCCGTATCCACTGTGTATCTTCTTACTCTATGGGAAAGTTATGAAGATAATGTTTATTCAAAGCTAGCTCGCCGTGAAAAGTGTGGATCGCTTATGAGACTATATTCCTTGTTGTTGATAAAATTTCGTTTGACACAATATCTTTAGTTGATGTAAACTTAAAAAATAACTGTTTGATAACAATGTAACTCTGAGTTTGCGACGGTTTTTAATTTTGCATTTGTTTCTACAAACTTGCTTAAAATTCTCTCAGATTGTATTTTGAGTACAAAAATAGTACGTTGTGTTATACGGGCGGAAAGCAGGCAATTTCGAATAGAGGGACGTTGAAGGGAGAGCTCTATGGCCCCAACATTTGTAATTGCTGTCCAGTCCGTTTCATTACATTTGCAGTGTATGTAGTGAATGTGTGTAAAGGCTGTGTAATAAAAGGGAACTTATAATAAAAGGTAAATTAGACTTAAAATCGTTATAGTTCATTCTAATTATATTTACAAAATTTTCATTGCTGTTTGGTGTTGCGGAGCGAATTTGATGGAAGGCGGTTGTCGGAGGAAGCGTTAAAAAAATTCGCCTCTAGGGCTATGAAATGTGATAAAAATACCGCCTACTACTACACGAGCAAATGTGATGAAAAATATATTAAACAGTGTCTTAAATTCTGTCGCTGCGACAAACGAAAGTAGCATTACCCCAAACTCTTAAATAAAACACAAATCCTGTTTAATTATTACTTAAAAATTTTTTTTTTTTGAGCTATCAACTTTCTAGAGGTGAATGTTCGTAACTGTCAAATTTCAAAGCAATCAGCGGTCGCCATTTTGATATAGACAGTTTTCACGTCAAGCCCCCTAGTAAATCCAATCGCTCATCCAATATAATTTCAAAGTTTGCGGTGCGTGGCCTCAAGTGTTCAACAATGTTAATTCAAGTGTATTTTAGGGTTTTTAATGTTCGATGACTGTTTTTAACAAACGTGTAAAAAATGTGTGGCAAATTTTGGAGACCTCGCGCAATAAATAGTGGGGGGTACTGGTGCACGCATTATCAAGATTATTAAATTGACAGTTGTTTATTTTTGTCTACATCATCCTCTATCTACATCTTGTTAGTGCCATGCTATGCACATATATGATAGTGCACATCGCGTGCAGCTTCGTGTACGCACAGACTGTTAATTTAGTGGAAAGTTGACAAATGCGTGCAATAGACTCGTCTTTTACTAAAATGAGGTGAAGCTTTGTAAATAATTCTTATTTTTAGGTTTGTACTTGTACAATATCGTTAGAGTTCTCAAAATCTTGCGACTTGAAAATTAAAAATAATTGACTGTACGGCGCGCTAGTATATAATAATAATAATAATAATTTGTAAACTTCGAAAATGGACTCATGGACTCAAAAATGTAAACGCTTAAGTTTTGTTTGTTTCTATTTTTTTTTTGTAGATATGTGTAAAGTTTTGGACAATAATTTGTAATAATGGAATACTCCAAATTGTCTTGCGTGCATTATTTGTTGAGTGGAACACAAACACACAGAGTGTGGTTAAAAATTACCGTTTTAGGCTATTTACACTGAGCAATGTAGGGCTATGGAACTAGAGCTGCTATCGACAAACGTACATAATTCACCAGTATTGGTAAATGGTTGTGCTATAATTATTTGCATCACGCCTATACCAAAATAAGTTTTGTAAATTATAGTGTGAATAAATATGTACTGAGAAATCCTAAATATCATTTAGGTACACTGTCCAATTTGTGAAGCGGTTCACTTGTGAAATGTGTCCCCTTTACAAAACGAGCCCACAAGTTTCTAGCTCAGGTAGATAGCTCGAACAAGCTACTCCTATTTGTATTTTACACAATATTTAAGTTTTATCAAACAGTTCGTTGATTTGTATTCAAGATATATGATTGGAGTTATGTACCCCATTCATTGTGTACATAAAGTAATAAAATTTTATTTTACAAATTTATTTATATTTGTTTTATTTAATCGATTACTTAAAATTATAACATTGTACTTATAAATTTGGTTGAAATAGCCGTTTTACTAAAAAAATACAGTTAAAAAATTTTGCCTAAGCATTGTATACAATGTATACATGACAGTGAGCATATTACAAGTATAATATCATTGATACTTGATGTATACTTGAAGGATTAATATATAAACTATTTATTTACTATCTATTTAGATGGACTTATTACGTCCCAATTTACGTCAAAGTTAATTACAATTTGGTTGTGCTTTGGTTTGTATTGCCTGAAAAAAAAAACATTATTTTAAAAACAAGAATTATTGAAAAAAATACTGGAGTAGGAAAATATAAAATAAAAATATGTTTTAGGATATCAGGAAGCTAAACAATACGCAGGCGAATATACAAGTGCTACCAAATGGCCAAACTTTAAATATATATATACATAGTTTATTTATTTTTATTTTACATTTTTAGGGAAGTTGACTAATTAGAAGCTGCTTTTGTCAAATCTGAACACCCATTTTGTTAATAAATTTATATTATTTGCACGTGTTGCTTGATGCTGTAACTTGCCATGATGATTTGTCTTTGTTGACTGAAAATCTCTGTTGTTTACAACAGAGTTGACAAAAGCAGCCTCAACAACTGAACTGTCAAAATCTACCCGCCCTTGATGGAAAACTCCCTTAGTACCTTTACATGTGGATCGACATTGTTTAATCTGCATGTTTCTTACCAATATTTGATTCCTGTTGCATCAAACATTCTTTTTGAAGCAATGTACATATCCTTATGAGCATTCTTATCCGACATATAGACAACTTCAGCTATGCCAGATTGTATTATGATTTTGGCACATTCGTTACAAGGAAATAGCCCTACGTAGATCGTGCAGTCTTTAACATCTGCTGAGTTTTTGTTTAATATTGCATTCATTTCTGCATGGCAAACTGGAACAGAAGATATGGTCTAGTATGCTTTGTCGATTTCACACATGGATCTCTATGAAGAGAGGGTGCCATAGGTTTCCACATCGGCCCTGTATGTATACAACCTATACATAGGGACTTTCTTCATAAAGTGTGTTCTATAACAACATATACTTTCATTGTTATTGTATTGTAAGGAAAATAAAAGTCATACCAAGGGACGTGTAACTATAGTGCCATTTAGCATGTCACAATTCGACTTAGAGGATGGAAAATTCGACAGCGACCGATCGCCGATCCCTTTAAATATCGCAACTTTGACATTGCTTCATTGACAAAATAAAAGTCAAAAGCGTGTAATTAACGCACATCTCTCTGAGAATTTAGAAGTTGTCAATATCATGCTTTTATTATTATAATTTATTATTTATATTATCATTGAAATTTTTATATTTAATGAAAACGAATAACACGAATTACTTACTAAGACCACACCCCGGACACTCCATACAACAGTCGAAAATTATTTACCTACTACTACTACATACAGCAAGGCGCTAACTGCACACGCGCAAATGTGTGCGTGAAGTGGCAGGGTTACCCATGCCATCACTTTCTTGCACTATAACGTTACGTGATCAGAGCGGCAACATAGCGAAAATGCTAACGCGAATCTATGATCTATGATTCTATTAATAGAATCCAGAATCCTAATAATTACACATGTCTATTTATATCGATATACTATTATATTTTTCATTAATCCACTAACTAGAGTAATATTGAAGATTTATTTAAGAAATATATTAAAAGCACTTAAAATGTTATATTTTGGACACGTAAATACCTTTAAATAAGGCAACCAAGGTTAACAAGGAAATTGCGTGTCCAAGTTGATCATCATTAATTAGGTATTTTCGCTGCTTGCGTAATATTTATCGGCAAAATGAATTGAAAATTCGAGAACCCTTGTCTACTAGCTCACGAAGTCATGGCGCCTCATTATATTGATATAATAAATCTGTATTTTTTATACATACATATATTACTCTGCAGTAAACGAATGAAGAAAACAATAACTGAATGAGTCTCAGACATAAGTTTTTTTTACATACTTCGTTTCATCTTTCGGGAAATGATGATAAACAGTCGTACACAGTACAATTCACGACCATTATAAATAGTAACGTAAAATGATGTTTTATATTAACGTACAAATTTCGTAATGAATAAATGAAAACTTTATTCAAATATCAAAGCCGTCTTCGCACGAAAACGGCTAGCCGGCAGCCTTGTTGTCGTTCAGTGACCGGCAATGTGCGGGGCGTGGTGGGGTATCTAAAGCTAGGGAGGGGCGGAGAGTATCCGTTCTCTTTACTTTTTGTTCTCTGCTAATACACTATTTCACATTAAATATAAATAAACATATTCTAGATACCATCACCATAGATCGGAAAAAGGTGTTGCAAATCTATACATACATGTATATACATACAGACATAGGTTGTTGCTACTTGGTGTAACGGGCTGGTCTCCGCAACTCGACGTCAAGGCGCCTATTTTGTGTGTGGGCCGGACGTTGACATAGGTTTAACAACCTACCAACCACCAAATTTTAATTCATTATTTTTATGCGAATTTCGGATTTCTGGAAATGGTTTTATTGCATCGTTGGACATAGCTACTCACCCAGTAGTTTTGTCCTACGAAGTTAGACGACGATGTTGTATTAATAGGGTGGCTTCATTCAGGGCCTATGCATCCCCTCATCACTGCGACCATTGACTGATCTATTGTGATCACCACTAATTACAGTGCAGAGCCAAGACCGACAATATTGAAGAACTGAAGGACTTTCCTGGCTCCGACAGATTTAATGTCCTCTGGTTGTGGCATGTGCCTTCCCAGTATGGAACTCCGTACACCCACCCATCAGGGGGTAGCATTGGGTGAGTAGATGAACAGGAGTTTCATCCACCTTGTGGCATAATCTACATTCAGATATATGTGCTGTTTAAGCCACAATGCCCTGTTAACGCTCTAGTGAGCATTCTTATGCCATTTCTGTCCAATGACAGAGCTTCTCTACAGTGTTTGGCACTGTAGGCAGATACCAGGACTTTTGAATGCTCAAGACCTTGCTCTGTAGCCACACTTCTCGGGAGAGATATGTGCTCTCATTTAGCAGAGTGAGCTTTGCCAGGCTGTATGCTATCCCTATGAAGGGTTCGGGTCCAATAAAGGTTTCCCTAGCACCAGCCTTTGTCAGTTCATCCGCTGACTCATTATCCTCGATGTCAGAGTGGCCTGGAACCCAGCGCAGGACCACTGTATTACTTTCCCCGGGAGTATTCAGTATATTTACACAGTTCTCTACAATCCTCGATGTTTGGGTGTATGAGGCTAGTGCATGTGGAACCACTTGACTATCTGAGTTTATGGAAATATACTTGTCAACGTAGTCTCTCTGAGGTTCAAATCCGCACAAGCAATTATGGCGTACCCTTCGGTCTAAAAGATAGAGGAGTGTCATCTTTAATAAAAAAAAAATTAATTTGGCATACTGATTGTGAATTTTTGTCAGGGTATAGAATTTTTGTCAGTTTCAAATTTCGTTATCCGTCCGGACGTTGTTCTGCTATCCGGTATCCGATCGGATATCCGTTTCATCTCTAGTAGGAAGGGGTGAATGATCGTAATTGACATGCTAAATGGCACTTAGTATTCTTGCAGAAAAAGTTGACAATATAAGACAAGCATAAACATACCATATAAAAATTTACTGTCCAAAGGTGACTCCGTATTCTTAGCCCATGGAAAGTCGTCATCATGACATCCATTTGGCATACCATTATATCTGAAAGAAATTAAATACATTTCCGAGCTGTGTATCTTACAAAATAAAATTCATAGAGCGCATACAAAATTGTACATGCACAAGACCATTTTCATATAGGTTTTTTTTGTGATATCCAGTGACAGGACGAACAAGTTGTGTGCTTCGTTGTAAGCAATGTGCCTATTGACAACAGTGGCAGTGCCACTCAGAGATTTCATGTCATTTCATTTATTTCATTATAGTATAAACTTATTGCTAACAGAATATATCTAGACGCAATAGTTGCTGAAGTCAAAATACATTATAAATTAAAATACGGTAAAGTTATAGTACAAGCAGTAACACATTATTCGTAAATAGTAAACAAATTCATGTCAAGGTAATACAGAAAATAATAAAGTAAAACGTCATGAAGTAAAATTAATAAAATGACAGATTAAAAATTAAGATTATAGTAACTAAAGCTAAACTTAAACTTAAATACTGCTGGGTCTGGTCAATGTTTCGAGGTAGAGTCCCGTGGAGAATATAAACTTAGACTCTGAACAATTGAATAGGTCTATCGAGGAGTCGGAGATAAGCAGCTGATTAATTAGTTTAAGCGCCCGAGGCAACGGAGCTGACTTACTGGATCTACACCGAGTAATAGGCAGGGCAAACAATCGTTGTCCAATTGGTCGCACTGCGCATGACCGCGGAACGTAGAAACCTATCATTGCCAATAAAAAAGGATTATAAGGGGCTCCGCGCACTAGACGGAATATATAGGTAATGAGAGACAGGCTTCGTCTCACCTCCAGCGTGCGGTACTCGACCATACCCAAAATAAAACTATTGGGGTACAAAAGTGGGCAATAACCATTGACTTACAATTATATGGACGTCGGGTCCGCGCTAAAAAGTGTCCGCACTTGTAAGGCGCTAAAATCGTATACAGAGCGCCAAACTCCGCTTTAGTCTTCATTTGTTCTACTGACAGCGCGATACTGCGATGACATTACAATTTAAATTTCGAATACGTTGACTTGGGACATTTTTTTCGTGGTTTTTGTATTAGACCCGTCGTCCATTTATTTGTAAGTCAATGGCAACAACCATAGATTTTTCTGTACAGATTAAGCACAAATGTTTTTTGATTTTTTTCTATGGTTCGTGTATGATTGCCATGTATGGGGTTCCTAACTATTGAATTACACTCTCACTTACATCTAACAAAGGAAATTAACAACATACAGGAAGTGATTTTATCCTTGAATTGCCTGGACTGCCGCAAGACGAAGCCAAGAGACTTTCGTGAGGTTTTACTGATTTTTGAAACATGTTCCTGGAAGCTCAGTTTAGAGTCGTATCAAGAGCCCAGGTCCTTGATAGAACTTGCTCTTATTATGTTGGTGTTTCCGATTAAGTAATTATTAGTTATACATTTATGGGTGCGAGTGAAGGTCATTATGGCACACTTATTAATGTTTAAATGTAGACTGTTTGTACTTCCCCACCTATGTACATTGTTAATGTCCTTATGGCTCTAGCCAGGTTAACATCGTCTGCAAATATGAGGCATGTGCTGTGATTGATGCATGCGGGTAAGTCGTTAATAGTTATTAGGAACATGAAAAAGGCCCCAAGCTACTACCTTGCCCTACGCCTGAATTGACTATATATTGACAGTATTCGTATTGCACATATTGTTCACGATGTTTGAGATAATCTGCAAAGAAGGTGACCAGATTTTCAGAGAAACCTGCGATGGCCAGTTTTTCTGAGAGAACGTCACAATCGATTCGGTCGAAGGCTTTCTGAAAATCGAAATATGCTGCGTCTACCTGTTTTTTAGAACCCAAATTGTCATTAATTATAGATGTAACATTAATTAGATCAGTTGCTGCAGAACGACCTGGCAGAAAGCCCAGAACCAGCCCTTAAGTTGCACATAAATTAAATTATATAGTACAGTTTCCATGATCCTAGCAAAGACAGAGATAACCGCGACTTCTCTCGATAATTCTTTATATCCGTCTTTGGGCCAGATTTATGGATTGGTACTACCTTCGATTTCTTCCAAATGCAGGGGTATTTTTGTGTTGTAGAGACAAGTTGATTATGTGATGTAGTGGCTCAACGAATACGCATCTACAGTCTTTTACTATTATTTGGGGAATGCCGTCTGGGCCCCGAGTAAACTTAGGTTTAAGATTTTTCATAACTTTACTTATGTCAGATGCTGACACATGATCTACAGTGATTTGCAGGTGGGTTTGTCAAAGAGGGGACAGCTGTGAAGCCAAAAGGGCATCATTGGGGCACAAATTGGGACTTGTGGTTAAGTAAACTTCTTTAAAAAATTTTGCAAACTCGTCCGTTATTTAAAATTTTTATTGAATTGATATTCAATTATTTTCTTGTGAAATTATTCCACTAGTTTGTTATAATTATTAATACAAAGATCGAACACTCAGAAAAAATTCCTTCGATCCGGCCGGATTCGAACCGACGTCTTTTAGCTTACCGTGCCAGACGCTATACCAACTAAGCCACGGAACGAACCAAAGGACCTCACGAATTTTTCTATCTGCTTGCGTCGTATTTGGTTCGTCCGTTATTCTTTGCGAGTTAAGGTTACCAAATACAGTGGGATTATTTGATAAGTGTATTAGATTTTATGTAAGATCAAAACGTATTAGGGTCCAACCTAATATTATTTTCGATTTTCCGCAGATGCATAGTATTACCACAGATTACAGAATATAGTATATACTATATATATATACTTGTTAGTTAGTGACTTACAAACTTTTCGGTAATAGTAAAAATATGCATAGTGCAACCCATAGTTTGTTGATTTATGGAGTTTGTGGTAGTAATTTTTTGTATGCAATAAATCATTAGCAACAGATCCAACAGTACCATTGCGGATAAATTGAATGATTCAGTTTGGAGGAAAAGGTTACATGGGGTACAGTTATGTCCAATTTATTATTAATCATCTTGTAAAAGCAGTCAACAGCGTCATCTATGTTAGAAGATTGGTAAACTGGTGACCAGTCAATAGTGGATAGTTCTCGGTATAGATCACTAAAGTCAGCTTTTCTGAAATTTTGGATGGACCTAATAAGTGGTGATTCGGGTTCAATTACATGGGTGTGTTGTGGACTTAAGAGGTGTGGACACGTTAAAGTGTAGTCTTAGTAACATTATATGAATTTCAAGCGGCACATGATAGATCTCTGGTTCAACCAGGCTTTACCACAGACAGTTTTAAATTGCAAGTATCTGAGGAGCACCAAACCCATGTGCCTGTAATTTCAGTAGCACCCTTATCGAATATTGAAAACGAAAAGCAATAATGCTGGCTGCCTCCGTGGCTGAACGGTTACCATCCTGGACTGCCATGCAGAGGTCCCAGGTTCAATTCCCGGGCCAGGAGAAATATTTATATGGCCTACATTTATTTCTCTCGTGAGTTTGTGTGTAATTTGTGGTTGTCTATGTGTGCCAATGGCACCCGCGACACAGGGTTGCTTTAGTGCGGGGCTATGTTGAGTGCATGCATTATTATTAAAAAAATGAAATAATGGTCACATTGCTGCTTGGTGGCCGAAATATATATGGAGGTAGTACTTCCCTGGACTAGCTCTTTCACAAGGAGCTCTATTGGTACTAAATCAAATGAGACAACTTCAACCAGATGAGATTTTAGGCAAATGTGAACCTATTTCAATTATAAAAAGTTGAAAGTTTGTTAAAAACTCACCCAATGCCAACAATTTTTTTTTCCTTATTTACAACACAAGCTCCAACTTGGTAACTTGGATCCTTGCTCCTTTTAGCTGCGAGGAATGCCATTGCCATGAAATACTCAGTCCATTCTATATAGTCTTCTCGTTTTCTTTGCTTCGTATGACCATTTACTTTATGTCTGAAATGAATTTAATCAGTGATTTTACTCTTGCTTGACTCTGCTGTTCTGGTGTGAGTACTCTGGGGTGTGTCTTCTTTTATGATATCAAATGAGGGACAAGTTGTGCATCTGATGGTCATGTCTACCCAAAACCGTTGCAGTGACACTCAGACCTTTAAATCGCAACTTGAGGACCACTGCCACCTTACCGGACCAGCAACATCACCCTTTGAAACCCGAACGCTGTAATGCTCACATTACCGTTTGGCGACAGAATTAGTTATGACGTTAGTACTTCTCTCGATAAACTCTTTAGCAGCTGCTACTAAAACTGCCTAGAGTAAATTTTATAATAATATTATATTTCTACCTACCACAGACATAAATACAAGGTGTTCTAATCAGAATGCCGTTCAATCGAACCACACCAAAGAATGGCACATTTATGTTAATTAAATTTAAAATTTATCTTATTAAGTAATAGTTATAAAATAAAAATTACGTGCACCTTACCTAAAAACTTTCACGGAAATTGCGCGCGAAAACGTTAAATAATGAAAGTAAATAATTTTTTTTTTATCTAGAATTGTGAGGCAAAACTTTACTGCATTAACTCCAACAAGTGATTAGAAATAGAATCCAAGTCGTTTTGTTTACTTACTCTTCTAACGACAAATTTGAAGTCATTTCAGATAATTCCAACTTTTTATTGTCCATTTTGAGAGATTAATGTAGATAGCAACGATCTTAAAAATGTAACCTAAAATGACACTTTGTTTATGACTATTTTTTTAAATATTAGTTTTACGGCATCGAAATAAATCCATCAAGCCAAATCTTTAAAAGTTCTTTTAAACCTTTTTATATATTGTGTTTATGAGATTTTCTTATTTGAATATATTTCAGGCATTTGAAGGTAATTTTTATAACACATTCGATTCATGTCTCTTCAGTGGTGGCAAGAATGTACGCAATATGTTCATAAATCTAGTAGTATTCAGCAGTAAAGATGGCAAAAGGTGAGGGATATCTTCTACTATAAAAATCTATAAGTAGCGTCTTTGCACGCTGACACGGCAGCGTAACGTAGAAGTAAATGATCGAGAGTGGCTTCACCAGTATTACAATGTACACATGTGACTGAATTTCTAAGTTTTATTCTGTTCAAATGAGCTGCGAATTTTACCATGACCAAAGCGTAATCTGTTGATGGTTGTTACCATTGATTTAGTATATAGGGTTGTTGCATATTTTTGACGGTGATGTTAAGTTGAAGTATCAGCGTTTCGCGAATGATTCTTCTGTATTTCCTCATACCATTTTCCTTTCAACTGTTTAGTGTTTTCCCAATGTCGTGACCATATATCAAACATACACATCTTCAGCACTGAGTAGTAATCCGTCATAGGAACTGACTGTGGTGCATATTATGATGGATCAATTTCATAGACGTTTGGTACAGTAATTTTCATAAGACTCCACAAATTCATTCCCCGTTATTCCGTGATCGTCAGGATGGCTGGTCGCCTGTCGCATCTGGCACTAAGTGTATATTCAAGAATTGCTACCTATTTGCTATATTTTCTAAATAATTGCTACCTTTGATATACATATACTAAGAAATTTAAAAAAATTATTGACCAGGATGGCTGGTCGCCACTTTGTTCAACATGAAGGGAGCAGATTTTCCAGAAGTATTAATTACCAATAATTGCTACCTATTTGCTATTATCACGAATTAAAGGTATACGCTTCCTATCTACATTTTAGTTAAAAAAATATAAACGATTCATTGACCTACCAACAAATGGACGTCGGGTCTATTACAAAAACCTAGTGACATGTAACGAAATACAAAAAAACTAGAACATTTAAATTAAATTGTAACGTCATTGCAGTACTGCCTAATTTTGCTTGCAACAATTTAAGGGCCCAAAAGCATTATAATCAGCTTCTACTGGAAACTTAACAAAATGCACCATATTTAGCTTCGAGTGAAAGAAAATTCCTTGCCTTTAGTGTAAATATTAATAAATTTTTATATATATTATTATGTCCAATTTTGTACAAATTCTCTTAAAGAAATGATACAGAGTTGGGCAGATACATACTACAAACAAATATTACAAATGTGAAAATAAGCTGGTACTATAAGAAATGTACCGATATTCCAACTATACGTAAATTCAAATATCCGTAATTCCGAAAACCCATTCATAATAAAACTGTTACGCTTTTAAGTAATTTTAATACTTTTCACAAAGAATTAACAATTCACAAAAAATTAGCTTTTGTTTTGTAATATTCCTAAAAAATACATTTGAAATTACAAAAATTCGAGCTAACGTTATTTCGGGCAAATGTATTTTCTGACTTGTGATAGGTAATTCCAAGCCGTAAAACGAGTTCAACAATATTTTGTTACTAACGTTTAATAAAAAATAATTTTAAAAGTAAGATTAAAATCAAAGCGGCTCTATAGTTTCTTTTTAACAATTGAAAATGACCAAGGAGTTTACGTCAATTTCAAAAAGCTTAAAGCTCTCTCAAGGGTCTCTTTTCATCTTTTGCGCATGCAATGTGTAGAAAACGGACAGTTAGCTATTTAATTATTTTGTTTGCTTTTGTAATTTATATTTACGATTCCCATAGATACAAATTAAATACTATACAACTGAACAAAATAACATTTTTAAATTATAACTATAACACAATATATTTGTTCAGTGAAAATATGATACAAATCCTGTTTTTACACTTTACTGCAGTAATTTTTACAAGTCATTATTATATAGTACCGCATGATTGACAACCGCGCTGTCAGTCGAACGAACACTGTTGCGCGATTGACGCTAGAGGTGGGCGTTTAAACGAAAAGCATTTAAAAGTCGGCTTTTTAAAATAAGCGCATAAGCACGCTTTTCATTTTAAGCGTTGGTCTATTCGCTTAAACGTTTTTCTAAACGACTTTTTAAGCGTCAAACCAAAAGCGTGTATAAAGCGCTTTTACAAGCACGCTTTTTAAACGTACATTATAACGTTCAAAAAATAATAAGTTTTTTCCATTTCAACGTATAACAACTACAAAGTAAAACAAGTTATGTTTTTGAACGCTTTTAAACGCCAATGAACAAAATGTTAATATAAAAATGTTATGTCATAAATAAAAATATAACACTTTTTTACAAAAAAACTTACTTGTCTCAAAACCTTTAGTGGTCTACTTTTGCTTTTCGCTATCAACACAATGTTGCAAGCTTTTTTACGTATAAGTCTATGCGCTTAAACGTTTTCTAAACGATTTTGTTAGCTTCAAACTTAAAAGCGTATATGTACAGAAACGTTTAAAAAAGCATAACGTTTAAAAAAATAAGCAGTTTTTCCCATCTCTAATTGACGCTCTGTATGCGATTTTAACGCCTTATAGACGCAGACACTTTTTAGCGCGAAACCGACATCCATTTGTTAGTAGGTCAGTGAAACGATTGATAATTTTACGAAAAAGTGCCAATGCCTGTCCTTTGCATAATGGCAATAAAGCACTAAAAACTTTAGCTTTTTTAATTTAATCAGGCACTTCTTAGTAAAATTTTCAATCGGTTATATTTTTTTAACTATTGTAGATAAAAAGCGTATACGTATACCTTTAATCCGGGAAAGTAGCAAATAGGTAGCAATTATTGGTAATAAATACTTCTGGAAAATCTGCTCCCTTCATGCTGAACAAAATGGCGACCAGCCATCCTGAGGTCAGAATGGCTGGTCAATTACTTTTATAATGTCTCAGAATATATCAAAGGTAGCAATTATTTAGAAAAAGTAGCAAATAGGTAGCAATTCTTGAATATACACTCAGTGCCAGATGATACAGGCGACCAGCCATCCTGACGGTCACCGTTATTCCTGCATGTGATAGCACCACAGACCAAATAATGATGGCGCCCATATTAATTCTATATAATTATCTTTAATTTCATATAAATGTCTGATTTTAATGGTACAAGTAGACATTGGTTTTGTAAAATATTTTATGACTCTCCAGGCAATTCAGTTACACTTAAAGAATCAGTCACGGGCAGGAAAAAGGAGGGATTGATGGTTGTTATACCTATATCGAAGCGCTGCATAAGCTTAGCATAAGCTTCAGCTGTAAATATTGAAACATTTTTATCCAGATTAAAGCAACGGCCAAATTTAGCAGTCCAGTCTTAATAGACAGCTTATATTTGGTTATGGATCCGTCTGTGTAAATATCCCGATATTATTGCTTCTCACTACTATTAAACAACAGAATTTCATAATTATTTATTATGGAACTTTTCTTTGCAGATCACAGGACTTTTGGTGTAAGACTAAGGGTCGTATTCCAGAACTGTACTCAATGCTCAAGTCAGGTTTTGAGCAGACTTGAGTATGATTTCAAGCACTGGAAATACGACCCTAATGGCAAGGACTTGAGTATGATTTCTAGTGCTTTGACTCATACTCAAGTCCTGACCTTAGCACTGAGTAGAGTTCTAGAATACGACCCTAAGTTTTCTCGCGCGTGATGTTTTTGCTCTTGGCTTTTCGCGACTAGCATTACAAAGCTTAGAGGACGGAAAAAAGCTACAAAGGCACTGACAAAGATTTTGACTTTTTTCTATAAAACAGGCAAAACTAAAACATAAAAAGGAAATTTCACTGGTATAGACAATTGAACAGTACTATGTAGCATTAGAGTCTTCTTTATTAAGTGTTCAGTTGTCTAAAGTTTAGACTGAGAGCTCTCAGACCCCGCTATTCTTCAATTTTATTTATTTCTGAAACTGATCTTGGGAAGTGTGACCGGTCATAGTTATTTGTTAATTTTGTATGAAATTATACATTTCTCGGCATTTGGTAGCATCATTGTCAAGCTAGTCAACGTGTTAGTTAGCCAAAATGCCCGAGTGTCTACTATTGAAAAAATCTTCAATTTTATTATTAGATTCAGTTAGGTGTTAATACTGTAGTGCTGATAATATTAACAGTATATTTGAAATACTTACGTATAGACTTAGGCGCTCCGCAGATGGAGCAACTTTCGTTGACGCAAATAGCAACTTGTTACAAGTTTCTATTAACGGTTGCCGGTTGTAGCAACTAAAAGGCCTAGTTGGCTTTTGCCGCAATTTTAAATAAACTTTCGAAATCCACGGTCAAGATTGACGCAGAGGGATAGGGAGGGAGTGAAGTTGTTTCACGAGTTGCGGTTGCCGGTTGTGGAAACTGGCAACTGGAGACAACCGGTGCAAGTTTCTAGTTGCGGCAATTAAGAAACTATTTAATCACGGATTTCGGCAATCGAAAACTGTAGTTGATTGCCGAAACTCTCAACTGAATTTGCTACGCATGCGCAGCGCCGCACCTTATTGTTCTTATCGTAAGTAGGTAACACAAAAAAGAGAAAATAATAACTAAACATGGATGGTTTTACGAATATGATAAGACGAAGAGGTTTCTATTGATACACATTGTAGTCCTATCACAAAGGGTGCTTAC